AAGGTAATGCATACCTGTCAAGACTCCCAAATTTTTCGGGAGACTCCCAAATTTTTCGGGAGACTCCCAAATTTCGACCAGTTCTTACGTTAGTATGGTTGTCAGAAAAATCTCCTAGAAATCAAAATTTCTGTGCGTGGTCTGGCTAATTGACAAAAATGCAGCCCAATTTGATCCAGGCTTTTTGTGAACCCACCGTATTTTATAGTAAATGAAATTAGGAGACATTCATCTTAAGCATGCATTAAGATCTCAATGATTCAAAACCGGCTTATACGAATTCGTGAAATTTCCCGACAAAATTTCCCAATGAAATGTCGATTGGGCCAAAATTTGAATGCTTCGAATACTTTTCTTTATCATGGCGGGTTGTATGAACTTTAGTACCGAAACCGTCGAACGAAGGCCAAGAGCAGAGTGCTCGAAGTTTCGGAAGTGTGCGCGTGGCCAGTGCATGTATTGTCTTCTGCAGTTCATGTGGTTGTTTGCCAGAACTGCTGTAGACGAAATTGTGGTCGCTCTTGACATGATAATGTATGGCGATGATGTAATTGACAGAACTTGGAAAGTGCACACATGTCAAACATTCGGCGAGTCAAAGGGACAGAGCTTTCCACAAACACTGTGGACAAAACCCCGGCAGATGCGATCATGAAAAGCAAAAAATGGCTTCGCTTCGAAGGCATATACACCGCCAGCACACGCCGATTGAAAAGGGAATTACCATTTTCTGTGACAGCCGCGCGCGAAACTGAAGTTGCGGCAATTTGATCATCGATAACAACTACTAGGCGAGAAAATACGGCTATGCAGTGGTAGATTAAAGGCAATAAAAATATAAAGAAAGCAAGAAGCGGTCTGGCGTTGTCCAAAGAATCTAGTAATGTTCCTGCGAAGAAAGCAAGAAGCGGTCTGGCGTTGTTGTCCAAAGAATCTAGTAATGTTCCTGTCGGTCTGGGTACTTCGGCTATACTTTGGCATTCAGCTTTTAGTTGTCTGAAGCGAAGCTTTGACTCACACTTTCGCGCCAGCCGGCTGAGCTGTTCTGTCCATTCACGACATCGCAGGAAGATATGCATAAGTTCGTTTGACAGGAACAGATTTTGTTAGTTGTTTTGATGACGCCAAGTTTCAAAAGATACAAATGTTTGCACACTCCAAGTGAGGATTGCACCTTCTACTGTAGTTGAAAAACCCTACCATTGTGTGTTCGGCCACTCCAAGCCATTATAAGACAACAACGCCGACATTTACAGACCTCCCCCCTTCCCCACGATCCCGGATTCAGAATTCTTGTACTTGGTAGGTATGGTTATGCATTTACAGTTCTTCTTTATGGCAGTATTGTAGTCCGATATTTATAAATCATGGTCTAATCATTATATGCCAGACACAAAATAAAAGGTGTTGGTGGTATATTGGATAACATCAATGAACAGTGAAGGCTTTGAACTCTTTGAAGGAGTGAAGGCAAAGCAAGGACTTTCGATGGAAGAACTTTTCAATGTGCAAACAGTTCCCTTGATTGTATAAAGACCTAGCTGCAAAGTTGTGGTTAAAAACCTATGCCCTTCTGTTCTCTAGCAGAGGTGGGCTTCACTTATACGTCAATTTTTAATTATAATGCACTCTCGGGCAAGTTAAGCTTGGCAGCATTTTAGCTTGCATGTACAGCTTTCATGTGACTGAAAGTTGTGTTCCCTTAACGGCATCATTTTCAGCAGTCTTAGTTTCAATATACTGGCTAATCAGAGCTGTTTTGTGGCTTATGTCTCAAGTGACTATTAATGTGCAACTTGTTAGCAGTAGCACTGACTGTAGTTGTTGTAGTGAAACTGACTGGGCTGAGAAAAGTTGTTCTTGTAACCCTTCGAGCTTAATGGGACCTTGAAACACTTAAAGATCATGGTCAGAAACGGTGCCAAGTGGTGGTCTAGGCTTCCAAGAACATGTGAACCAAGTATTACAGTGCAACACGTGTTACTGGGGCTGCCAGGGTTGGCCTTGACTTCTCCATGCGTGCACCTACAATCTCACTGAAAAGTCGTGAATTAGAAGAAAAAAAAAAGAAAGAAAGTGCTCAATGTCATGGGGTACAGGGCCCCTTTAAGATGTCATTTGCATGGCACAGCTGAGCAGACTATTTTTCTCGAAGGTTTCTTGCATTACCCTCATATCAGTTGCATTGATAAACACAATATTTCCATCCATTGTTGCCAGTGCTTTTGCTTTATTTACTCCTGTGCTTAGGTTCAGAAAGGCTCACAGTAATGGCTGCGCTAGACTTCTCATGCCATGGTATATACTTAGATTAACGCTGTTTCTCCTACTTGTCAAATTTCATTAAAGCCTTACTGCGTCCTTTAGAGCAGTTGTAGGAGCATCAGTTTACATTTCATAACACAACCCCGTACTGTCAGAACGTTTGCACAGACGTTTTCTTTCACTAGCTGATGCACCAGTCTCTTCCGCATTGTGGCTGCATGATAAGATTGGGCAGCTGCTGCTGCTGTTATCGTTGTTGGCACAGCATCAAGGAAATGTGTGTGTGCGTGATGGGTGTCTAACAAACTCCAAGTACAATGAATAATTGGAGCACCATGCTTGGTGACAATGAATGAACAACTTTAGTGCACATTTTGTTGACAGAAAGCTTGCAGTGCATTTGTGGTTTAGGCCTCTGCAATCTGAAAAAAATGGTTCGGATAGTTCGTGAAGTTGTATCCATGTTCGGGGAGGTCTTGGCGTCGAGGGGAGCACAATGCTGTGAGCTGTTGATCTGCTTTGTACCGTTTTATTGTTTGCGAGTTGAAGGTTGTCGGTGCTTGTGTGTTGAAGCTTACTTTATCTCTGAGCTTTAATGTGGTGGCCTATGTCTGTGCAGCTGATAAACAGCCTCACGAATTCAGACGACTATTGAGTTACAATGAAAGCAGCGGGAAGCCGATGGGGCCTTTTTGTCAAGAAATGCGGTGCTTTAAGTTGGTCGACCGTTCAACAGAATGGCTGCTTTCTTTCTTGCGAAAAGTGAATCATGTCCCCCATCCCTCAGGTCGTCAGCGTTGACACTTGTGTCCCCAAGAAAGTGTGACGACACACCATGTACTCGTGTAGTTGTAAAGGGAAGGATTTCTCCATTGTGTGAATTCCACTGGACGAATGACTCAGAAAAGTTAGCATGTTTTGACGTAGTGGCAATACGCAGTAGTAGTTGGCTGGCTCATCTGTACGAAGAACATGAAAATAGACACTAGAGTAAGGTTTGTGAAGGAGAAAGAAGGAACAGAAAAAGAGGAATGGCGAGCATAATGACTAGAGCATACCTGCTAAATCTCCCCGATTTTGACCGTTTTCTCCGTTAGTACGGTTGCCATGAAAGTCTCCTGGAAATGGAAATTTCTGTGCGTGATCTGGCCGCATCGACAAAAAAGCAGCTCAATACGCTCCAGGCTTTTAAAAGGAACTACCCTTTTCCGCGACCGCCACGCACAAAACTGTGGTCGCGGCGACGCGATAGCCATCTATGAACTCCGAGGGCACGCAGCGGTAGATTACAGGTCGTAAATACGTAAAAAAAGTCACAGTTTTGCCGTAAGGGCGAAGCAATGAATGCGACAGCAACAACTTGGAGGGTCACACTGAGAGCGCCAAGCAGATCGAAACATGCAGCGCGCTGCTCACTCACTAATGACGCACCAAAACGATACACACTGGACGAGTGGGAACTAACAACGTTTACCGCTCGACACGTGATGCGCTGTTTAAAGAAAAACGATGCAGGATACGTAATCACAAGTACAAATGAGTGCAAACTAACAAGTGTCCCAGTTATACCTCGCTGTGTATGAAAAGCGCGCTCTTTTCGCAAAGGGGACCTGTGCAGAGACCGAAGTGACCTTTGTGGGCCTGGCAACTAACGCAATCGTTCTAGTGAAAGTCGAAGGCACACGATTCTCTCCTCTGAAGGATAAGCGCGCGCGCACAAGCATCGTCCCCTGCCCCCCCCACGCCTATCTGGCGGGGCATAGTACGCGGGGCATAGTACGCGAGTTATTTTGAAAGAAAATTCTGCTGGTTGTGGGGATGCTTTGGGACTCTCACCTTAGTGGAAACCCTACCCTCGTGTGTTCGGCTACCCCAAGCCACTATAAAACCGCAACGCTGATGTTGGCGCTTGCGAATGAGACCCCCCCCCCCCCCTCTTGTTTTTCATGGTGTTTTGTTGTTTGTATGTCCTTGGGTTTTTTTTTTGTCCAATAAAAAATATGGGGGAAATAATTCCGATACATTTGTGGCGTTGCGGGCCTGCTTCAGATTGTGTTATATATTCAGTGTCTATATCTGCATTAGTTGAAACGAAGTGCCAGTGGTTGTCGAATTTGGAAAGGGCCTCAGAATGTTTTTTTCCTTTTAGCTTTGGCCTTCGCATACAGTATGCTTGCATCCATGAATGATCAAACTGTGAAGTCATGGCCTGGCTAGGCAGGGGAATTGAAAAACTAAGCTCGTTACATGGAATATTGTCAGCCAGAGTACACGCCTTTGTTCAGTGCTGGTAGTGTCCATCAGCATTTATACCTATGGGCAGCGCAGGTATAGTGCTTGAAAGGTGCCAGGATGTTCAGACGGAAATTGAATTGAAATGACATTGAAAGGTTAGGGTGGTAGGTGGCTTCCGTGACTAGCCTACAGCTCGTGATTAGCCAAGCTGCGGCGTGTGCTTGCGATAAGAGATTGTAGAGCGATTATTTTGTTCCCTCTCTCTTTTCTTTTGTCTCCCTCAATAAGTTGTAATGCAAAACTTGCCCGAACGTGTTGTGAGAACGTGAGTTTGACATTGTTACGGCATTTTCTCAGTGTAGTGGGTGGGTTTTAGGGGGTCTGACCACACCAGAGCGTCAAGCGTTGCCGTTCGGCCGTATTTTGTGTAGTAACTTCCTTGTGTCTGACCGCACGGCGTTCCTCTCTTCTTCCTCCCCCTCTTTTCACTGCGATTGCAGGAAGAAGTGCCTTAATGAGAAGCACCGGCGGGAGCAGGAGAACGTCTACCTGGAGGAACTAGCAGAACTGATCTCTGCTAGCCTGTCTGACATGAATTCCCTGTCCGTCAAGCCAGACAAGTGTGCCATACTGCAGGAGACGGTCAACCAGATTCGCCGGATCAAGCAGCAGGAGGCGAGCGGCGGCGGAGGCCTTGGCGAGCTGCAGCAGAGCGAGGTGTCGTCGAGCAAGCCGACCATCCTGGGCAGTGACGTGCTGGGGCCCTTGCTCCTCGAGGCGCTGGACGGGTTCCTCTTTGTGGTCAACACCGAGGGGCGCATCGAGTTTGTGTCGGAGAACGTCTCGTCCTTCCTGCAGTACGGCCAAGGGGAGCTCGACGGCACGAGCATCTACAACATCCTGCACCACGGCGACCATGGCCGCTTCAGCAGCAACCTGCTGCCCATGTCGCTGGGCGCCAATGGCCTGGGCTGGACCGAGGCCGGGGGCAAGAGCCGCTCCTTTCAGTGCCGCTTTCTGTTGCGCCCGCCCGACGCCGAGGACAAACAGAGCAGTGCGCGCATTGCCCCACTCTACGAGAACATGCACATCTCGGCCATCTTCCTGCCCTACCCCAACGGCTCCGGCACGGGAGGCGCAGGCAGCGGCGATGAATCCGGTGCAGACTCTGGTTAGTGCCTACCCTCTCTGAATACTTCACCACACTGTTACCACGGTGGTGATTGCATAGACTTCGTAATGCTCATTAAATTTTAAATATAATTTCTCGTGCAGCTTGTTTCATTGCTGTGGTAGCCAAAATAACGGAAAATACACTCATCGTTGGCCTGTTTCTCATGAAAAAGCTCACTAGCTGACCAGACTTTGAGATGTGAACAATGTTGCATGTTGCAAGAATGTGAAATTCTCTAGCCATTCAACTGCAGTCACAACTTGGTATTACGAGTTTTGCCATATAGCATGATTTATATTCATCTGAACGGGATGATATTCGAGTGCCTAAATCATACCATGTCAACACGAGTTGGGGCAGTATACTGCTTTGTGAATGAAAATCTGCCGCTACCGTCTCCCAAGTTCCATGTAGGCAAGCCTCTCAGCTTAAAGAAAATTGATTTCTTATAGACAAGTAGCGAAATTTATGCGCAGGGGAGGCACAGTCTGTTCTTTGCCACTGGCAATGTTGGGTTTCCTTTATTTGTCCAGGGTGGCTAGTTTTGCTTTTGTAGACGTCAGTGGCGCATTCTTGAATCAACTCGCAAAAGAGTTTATAAAGGAGCTAGTTAAAGGATACAGTCGCATTATCGAGCTGCTATCAAAAGCCAAACACACATTCACCACCTGACGCTGCAACAAACTTTTCCCCACCATTGACTGTTTGCTAACTACTGTGCATGAATTTGCACCTCTGAGGAAAGCTGCCTTGCAGTATTTGCTACTTTTGTATAGCTGTCGCCAGAATTCTTAATTGCATAGCTGACGACGACGTAGTCCCATTTCTGAAAAATTCACGGAAATCTGCATTTTGTCATTGACTTGCGAGAGGCAACGGGTCCTGCAACACTTTTCCGAGGAATTATTCAGTGGCTTCATTGAAAGAGTTTATTGCCTCACTAATCGAGTGCTGTACAAATTTCTAGAATTCATCAGGTGTCAGCGAAGTTATAGGAATTCGTCGCAGGCTTTAAGCACTTTATCTTTCCTCTCGTACCAGCGACCGGGCTGAAAGCTGTGCAGGAATTGACAATGGTACTATGCTCATTCCCGCGTCATTACTCGAAGCACTTTCACTTCTTTTTACGGCCAAAGCTCCTAAAGGCATGGGTCTGTCGATCTCTTGTATGTATATGGACGTGACCGCCTGCCTGCCCACTACTTCGTCTTTGCAAACATCCCACTACGCCCCATCATCAATCCACCACTTCACCGACCATGAAGCAAATACTGTTGAGAAGTAGCCATTGATAAATGCAAGATGGTCTAGTACTTGTATTCAGGTGTGCGTTAAAGAACGATAAATTGTCCTACTGTGTCCATCCTTTGTTTGTACGGGACCGCCTATAGTTCCGCCTTTGCAAACTGTCCACTACTTTGTCCTTGCAAACATCCCACTAAGCCCCATCACCGATCCACCACTTCACTCACCATAAAGCTGTTATAATGAAGGTGGAACGGAAGCGACATATAGCTACCACTTGAGAATAATAAAATTTCTTGTATAAATATATACAGTGTTCCTCATGATGATAAGTGGGTGATATTCGTGGATTATTCACGGTTTAGTGATGAAACCCTCCAGCGCTTCGCCCCACTCATAATCATTCACTTTGTGAATATGCTGTGATTTCTTGTTTTTCTTTGAACGCGTAGCTAGCTTTCAGTGGGATTGTGACTGTACTAGTGTACTTCTAATTCTATCGTCGTAGAGAGCAGCGCGGGCGTTACATAGCAGCTCGCTATAATCAAATGATCCAGTGGCAATGATATTTGTGTTAATGGCGGGGTCATTTTGGCTTATGGCATCACTTGTAAAAAGAATAATGAGATAATGATCTGTACCTCATTCTGAAGTTTAATTGTGAATTCCGTGCGACACGCTGTGCTATTATGCACAGCTCGCATGTCTACGGCAGTGTCCACTGCCGGTTGGTAGCATTTTATGAACATGTCAAAAAGTACTGCGGGGCTTCTTTCAGCTGTGAGCTGATGCATAATTTCTAAAATGTCAGCAGGAATAATTTCCTTTTCCCTCATTTTTCTCCACACCCTTCTCCTGTGCCTGTGCTGGAACTGTTTGAGTAGAAGTGCAAAACTGCCTGGTCTGTGTGGCCCGCCGTATCCCCGCGAACGAGAAGATTCCAACCTCTGTAGGTGTGGAGCAGTTCACGACACGCCTCGACCTCAGTGGGAAAATTCTCGCCGTAGACACCAGGTGAGTTTTCCTCGGCCAAGTGCGCCTTGCTTCGTATTCGGCTGGCTGAATTTCTCAGCAGCAAATTAATGCTTTTGTTATGCGTGAATGTGTGCTAGGTTATTTGTAACAAGTGAAGCTCCCATCAAGCATCATTAGTACGTCCGTAAATCAGGTCATCACATTCTAATTAAAACGATAGCTGAAAAAGTCGGAGCAACTTGTTACAGTGCCACCTAGAATCAGTGATGCGAGGGCAAGAAAAATAATCATAGAACTACACACTTGTTTAGTTTTTTATATTATGCAATGCATGTTACCCGACCAGCAGACAATCTCACAAGTGTCCATCCCGTTCAGGCATGTAAATCATGTTCGTCGACAGTTAATTGAAAAAATACTTAGTGTAAATGTGATGTTGGTATCATATAATGCATGACAAATAATTTAAATGTGTCATTACATGTTAATTATGTAAATTAGTTTAAGAAAGGATGATGTTTGACTGGTGCTAGGATAACGTTTCAGATAGGGTTGTCAGCAGGGAACATCCTGTGCCATGGCACTTCTATTCTACATGGTCAGCACTGGGATATTTGATTTCAGGCTTTACTAAGAACTTCTTGAGACAGCTGAGTTGTATTGGGAATAACTGTGAGGCGTCCTGGCGGTTGTATTTCCAATGGAGGCAAAAAGCTTGTGTACCTAGATTTAGGTGCACGTCAAAGAAGCCTGGGTGGCTGAAATTTCTGGAGCCCCCTGCTATGGCATCTCTCATAATCATGTCCTGGTTTTAGGAACATTAAAATCCAGCAATTATTATTGGAAACTGGAAGGCAAGGAAGTAGTGCTGCACGACGATCACTTGAAAAGCTTGTCTTTGTTGCTATCGCACACTGGGAAAATATGTGTCCTTTCAACATTGTGATATTTATTGGATGATATTTTTAAAAGTTATTTTAACTATGGGGGGAGAGAGAGAGTGTGTGTGTTCAAGCAGGTGTCTGCTCTATGAATGGCATGAGAGCAGCTTCCTTGAAAGCTTCAGTAAACTTTCCAAGGGCATTGTGTATATCACCTGTTTGGTTCGTAAGAAAGAGCTGTATACTTTTGCGAGAAATGTTTCCATGTTTGACATGTTCCTGCAAGCAAGAAGTACAAATAACCACACATATTATCTGTTGTGCGGCACTCCCAAGATCACAACTTCGCTTGTCGCATTTTCTTGTTGCCCTTGTGTGATTGAACAAGTCGCACCTGTTGTTCATTTAGTAACCGTGCCCTCACTATCTGTGAGGATTTGTGTGGCTTCTCTCTTCGCCAAGTCAAAGAGATGCAGTGAGGACCCAGGGCTGGACAGAGACATTCGGAAAAGAATTTATAGAAAAAGATATTGAAATAATGTGCTAGAAACCAGAAATGCAGATACTTGGATACATTTGTCTTTGACGTAACGAGAGATTTCGAATACTTATGCAAAAAGATGAAAAAAGCTGCTCCGAAATACAGATACAGGAATAGAATACCTTTATTTTTTTATTTATGGGACGCTGAAGTTCCGCAAAGACATTTATTAACTGCAGAATAATATTGTAAATGATGTTTTAGTGCATTGAAACTTGCAATTCAAGGGTATTGCTTCAATCACAACGAGTGCCAGTGAGATAAGATGAAGCATAAATTTATTTTACACAAGACATCTGTTTTGTTTAAACGTTTGTTACAAAAATAGGGGCTTTTAGCTTGTATGTAAACTTATTTATGTTAATGTGTTATAAAATAGCGGAAGGAATCTGTGCATACGCAGGCCTTTGCTGAACGCAGTTATTTGAGTAAAGTGAGGTATTCACTGGATAGGCTTTACGTTTACGCCCTTATCTCACAAGTCCAGCTTCGTTCGTGGCATCATATCCATTTTACAAAGATTCCAGCTCTCGAGTCAAAATAAGCCGGAGTGAGGGTGATCATGTGGTTTCAGCTGTATTACTGAACCTAGAGTGCCCTAGAATGCAGTGGTGTAATTATGAATGTGCTTTTTCCTTGGAAACACTAGGTGAAAACAACTGTGTCCTTGACTGTGGTTGCGCCCCGCCACGGTTGTGTGGTGGTTATGGCGCTTTACTGCCAATCCCAAGTCTCGTGACCAAATCGGGGCTGCATTTTCAATGGAGGCAAAAGTGTTTCAAGGCCCGTGTGTTGTACGTTAAAGAATTTCAGGTGGTCGAAATTTCCTTAGCCCCCGAGGTCCACTACGGCGTTTCTCATAATCATGTCGTAGGTTTGGGACGTTAACTCCTTGATATTATTATTATTATTATTATTATTATTATTATTATTATTATGACTGTGCTTGCATGAAGCATCCTAAGATGTTGACACTGTCATATGGTTACTCGGTGTTCTTACACTGATATACATGCTTAAAACCTCTAATGATAATGCTGCCACAGTTATTCAACATCATTTAAGTTGAATATAGTTTAAATGCAGTTATCATCACTGCTTGTTTTTTGTGCAAATGTAAAAGTATACATTTATGTATGTATGCAAACGTTTTATGTATGCAGAGCTGAAACTTGCTAAAACATGCATGCCTGAAAAGCGGTGAATGCTGTTCAGTACTTTGGTAACATTAAGATATATACGGACTAGCTAAAGGCCCCTAATTGTACTTCGGAAAAGGAAGCTCCTCAAAACTGTCCTGTAGTCAGTGTCGGTTCGACCTGAACACTATGCTCTCAAATGAGAAAAGCCTGTCTCAGCCAGAAAGTCCTACAGCGTTATGCTAGGTAATCATACTCGCAATAACGCATGGGTTTTTAGTGGTAACGCGTACGTGAGGTTAGGCCCTTGAAACCTGAACACACGTGCACATTGCAGTGTGTCAACGCGAGGTGGGGGTGGAGGGCACAGCTTTGCATATCCGCATGCCCTCTCGCTCTATGGGGAGAGGACGTGGCACCGCATCAAAAAGCCAAGTGGTACGTTGAAACACCACTGAAGGGAGGAGGGATCCGCCATTCTTTGTCCTTCACAGCTAGCATCGCTACAGTGAAACTAAACTCTGTTTCACACATCAGGTGCAATGCGGTGGAAACTATGCAAGTAGTTCGGTCAGCAAATTTTTCTTGGTTTTTGATTACCTGGAGATGGATACGACGTGTGAGACCAGTCTTCGCCTCATTAAGCTGAAGGTTGTTTAATTATTACTTGGGCCACATCGCTGACGGTGCCATAAAACTCATTTTGACTTCCTGGGCCAGCATTTGTGTTGGAATCGTTATCAGTGGCACTCCCACATGAAACGAACATTACAGTTTGTGATGCGGCGGTGGATCACTTCAGCATTTCACGCAAATCGGGGTGTACGACTACATGATCCTTGGCTGCTGTTGAGAAGAAACTTGCACATATGATCCGAGTAAACAGACATATCATGACATTTGCTAAATCGTTTTGTGCGTGGTAGTATTATTTAGATTATTTTCTGAATTTAAGTGAGTGCCTATGACAGTCAGGTTCATTTAATGTCTCTGTTTGGAGGAAGTGCAATTCAGTCAAATGATTTAGATTATTCGCAGATGCAGGCGTAACCTGCACGATAAAGCGCCATCAATTGAAAATGTCCTAATTTCATTTGTGATACTTAGGCACACATATGCTCTAATCCTACAGCCTATGCCTACTTATACTAACATTAGCTCCACTTAGCATATTTCATTCGCACCCATTTGTTGGTGTGTGGGATGAAAACAATGAGTGTCTTGTTGGCCTGCGTGACCATTGTCATTTAAATCTTCCGTTCGGACTGCAGTTTACTTATTCTAGACTAAATTGTGAAAACTTTTTACAGCTTTGACAACTTTCGCTCAAAGTGAAACGTTCCACCTTGAGAAATTTGCGTCACGAAATTGAGTAGTAGTCGACAACGTATCGTTAAAGAGCAAGTACATAGCAGGCACAGAAAATGGCAGCAAGCGGTGGTGGAGCAGACGAGCCCTTAACGTGACGCCACGGTGCCACGACCGCAGCGACGTCCGCGTTCATTCTTAGGGCTAATACTCCGTGTGCATTTGTTCTCTTTCCAACAGTGGTGTTTCATCAACGTATAGCCAGTACCTCAACAAGTCCCTTGTGGGACGTGTGATCCAGGAGCTCTGCGATTCTAGGGACCTCCACAAGTTGGATCAACACCTTAAAGAGAGTGAGTGCCGTCGCTTCTTTATTTTGCCGTTAAGGACTTTTATTAAAAGACGATTTTGAGTTGGTGGCTAATGTGCCATGTTATTCCTCCTCAACCTTCTTCTTTCTGCCTTTCTTTTACTTCGTTCTTTCTTTTTGGCAGATTACAGTAGACTCTCCAAAAAGGAAAATCCCATAAAAGAATAGCTGATTGATTGGAACTGCCTCTGTTATGATTGGTTTTGTACTTGGAATTCTGCACTCATGTTCTTCTGTCTGCAAAAAGAACTCCTGTTCAACATAAGAGACTTGGCTTGTCCCTTTAGATTCCTTTTGATGAGAGGGCTGTATTCTGTTCTGGTATTGAACACTTCTCAGTGGGACAGCTCTTACGAAGTTTAGTGCTACACAAAAAGCATAGTTTGCCCAGGTATCGGGGAACCTGCATGCAAAATTTTGTTCTGAATGTGCCTGCAGGCTTTGTGAAAACCTAGCAAAACGAGTTTCGTGCACTAATTGTGGGTAAAAAAAGATTTTTTTGCCAATGCATGACGTAGACCCATGCAGCTTCTACACATCTCCTTTCAAGTTCTGCTGCAGGGGCGTGCAGCGCAACCACATTTGGGAAAAGTCAACGGGCAAAGTAAATGGGGCTGCATCTTACTTTGAAGAAGTCTTGCTTCTGTGTCGACGCCACTGCGATGGTGTTCAGTCGGGTCATTTCGTTGATGCGAACAGTTTCTGCAGTGGCATCGACGCTGTCTTTTGCAGCCCTCCAGCAGGGTCAGCATACGAGCGCCATCTACCGGCTCCAGGTGACGCCTGACAAATCTCTGCTAGTGCAGACGAAAAGCAAGCGCTTCAACTACAATCAGGTCACGAGTGAGCCAGAGTTCCTTATGGCCACCCATTCTATCATCCGGTAAGTAGTGCGATTTTGCTTATCGTTTGATCTGGTGTGTATGAGTGCATAGTGCATTCCGTATCGATTTCCTTTTTCGAATCCACTTCCTGACAAGGCGAGGTGTCCACCATTTGTCATTTTCTTAAAAAGAGGAGTTCGGAAGAACGATCAATGGAGTTGATGGTTATCTGTAAAGCGTCCATCGAAGGTATGGGACCACCCTTACTTGTGATAAACCACAGGAAGTTAAACTAAGGGCACCCACTGAAATGATAAGAGATTTTTGTTTCTTTCTTAAGTTGAGTCATGAAATGGAAATCAAAGAAAGGAAAAGAATGAATGAAAAATCAGTTTGTCATTACTGACAGAAGTGCTTTAGATTCATGTCATACCGATTGAGGCGCAACGATAACTGACCCCAACCGATTTCCTGGCTACTTGCTTGTGCACTACGGCTTTTGTTAATTTTATAGCTCTTATTTTTTATTAATTTGCTGCCTGCCGTGCTGCCCTCAGCACCTTCAATCTTTCAAGTTTCTGCCTTTTATCTTAACACCAATAAAATGCTATGATCTTGTATGTTTCAATAACATGTCGGTCATGACTGGCCTACCAAGTGCATTTTTATCCTTCTAGCTTTTCATCCCATAATCTGCTCTCCCTCTTACTGCTTGGTCTAGCTAAACAGGCTCTTGTGCAGATTGCGATTCTAGAAGCTCTCTCCAGCACCTGATTTCTGTGCATCATTCGAATTGCCAGCTGTCAGGGTGGTCTAGTGGCCAAGACACTTGGCTGCTGACCCGTAGGTCGCGGGATTGAATCCCGGCAGTGGCAGTCGCTTTCTCAATGGAGGCGAAAATACTTGAGGCCTGTGAACTTATATTAGATTTAAGTGCACGCTAAAGGGTCCCTGCAACACTTTTTGAGCATGGTCAGGAAACGCTGCCGATTGGTAGTAGAGGCTCCCGACAACACGCGAGCCAAATAATATAGCGCAGCACGCGGCCTGGAATGCACAATAATATATCAAAGTCAGCTAAAAATTGCTTTCTCTTCTATCGACGAATCACGCAGTATGCCCGAAAATCAGCACTTCGTAAGCCCATCTATCAGCCATTGGCTTATTTGAACATGGCACGCTCACTCGTTACAGAGATTGGCCTGGGAGGCCGTTACCTGTCTACGCTCGTGCGTGATCACACGCAAAAGCCGTACATTCGAAAAAAAGAAAGTGCTCAAGGTCAAGAGGCGCTCGTGATGTTTTTCTGTTGCCCTGCCATCCCTCCCTGCTTAGCTTCCAGCGGACGAGAGAAGAGATAATGCAATTGCAGCAGGCAATGAATTCGTGAGGCAATAAGCTCATCCAGTAAATTCGTTCCATGGTTACTTGAAAAAGTGTTTCTGGCACCCTTTAAAGAACCCCAGGGGGTCAACTTTCCAGAGCCCTCCACTATGGCACCTCTCATAATCGTTTGGTGGCTTTAGGATGTTAAATCCCAAGATTCATTATTATTAGGGTGGTGTATTGTCTATTATTAGGGTGGTGTATTTATTGTCTGTTGTGTTGTGGTGCTGCAGAGCAAGGTTGTGGCTGCAATCCTGGCTTCAGCAGTTGCATTCTGATGCGAGAGAAATGCAAGCCCAGATGGTATCAGAGTTAATATGAATCATCATTGTGGTCCACCCTGTAATCAAATTGCGATTTTTCTTTCATCATAAATCAAGAAATGAATATTAAAACTTCTGTTTGTGAATCTGATTCAGGGACAGCGAGGCCCCGTCTCCGGATGAGCTGAGCAGGGGTCCGACGCCAGTCAATGGGGCACCTGCCTCCTCGTCCTCGTCAGGCCCGACCCCCAGTGGTAGTGGGAGCACCAGCGGTGGCGTGGTTGTGACCACCGGGCCCCCATCTGTGTCTGCCGCAAGTGGTGGGGCAGCGGCCGCCTTCTTCCACCTGAGCCCCTCGTCTTCGGGAGGCAGCCAGGACTTCAACCTGCTCTCCATGGAAATGTTCCCGTCCACCTCCTGGCCCGAGGAGGAAGACCTCGCTTCGGCGAACACTCCCAAGGTATGGCGACGAACACCACTGCTGGTAGCTAAGTTGTTGATAAGAGGTACCCTGGCACCGGTGTCTGCGGCCACGACCTGTACAGTGGCCTTGTCAGGACTAAAACGTCAGCCAATACTCAGGGCATTAGGATTTCTAATGCATGTGCCTACCCAAGGGGCATGAGGACTCCACCTCCTGCAGGGGCGAGAAGGGGCTTGAGGAATGCTTTTGTACCATGTGTTTGAGACGTGTTCAAGAACACCTGTGTGCTCAGAATTTGGAACACTCAAATACCTCTGGGTCATTTTCAACTCTAAAGATTGTGCACACTCTTTGTGGCATGTGCATATGTTTGGTGTTTGCTAGACTATTGCTCCCAATGGGATATAGAGCTCACACATAATTCTCCGCGCTGTTTGTCTTTCAGGGTGGCAAGAGCGTACCCGGTGCAGGTGATGGCGATGACGACGACTACGGTCCCTCGTCACTGCCACCTCCCGCGTCCACTCCAGGGGCCGTGAGTGCCCCCTCGCCCTACACGACGGGGGGCACGACCTCATCCTCGGAAGACGGCGGGCCGCAGAAGCTGCGCAACCTGCTGACCCAAGGCCTGGCAGGGTCCGGCAGCGGGAACGACGAGACCGATGCTCCGAGCAGTAGTCGGTCGGAAAACGTCATCCTGCGAGAACTCCTCAACCAAGAGGACGAGGAGGAGCGGCAGGAGGGGAACAACATGCTCAGACGGGTGAGCAGGAAACATTCAAGTGTCTCTCGCGTCCGACTGCTGCGCCTATCCCAGTTTTTACCATTTTTTTTTTAAAACGTAGGCGATGTTACATTTATGTGCATGGTGATTTGAGTGAAATATCGTAACTTCAGCAAAGTTGTATAGTACGAGCGATGGAAGCGTAGGTTGCCTGCTGAGGAAAGTAACCTAGCCATAGGGGGGGGGGGGGGGGTAAAGAAAAAGTGACGCCATTTTCGTTTTATCTTCCCTGTACAGAATAATCCTGGTCTGTGTCTTCCTTGAGTTTATCTTTTTTGAAAACCTCTTCTACTCATCTGGAACACTGTCGTGCTGACTACACTCAAGCAGCTCATTTGAGGCACCACTTTGCCAGCATTTTCAGTTATTGTACGCTAGTTTTGTTTGTGGACAGGACATACATGATAAAGATGCCATCTTTTTTTTTTTTACATTGTGAAATTTCAGGGCATATGGTTTACTCTGATTGGTGTGGCAAAAGTGTCATAAATTTTTTTTTCTTGCTACTGTTGGTTTGGGTATTGATAGAAAAATGTATGGTGTCGCATTGCTTGACGTACGAATGTGGGTTTACGAAAAAATGTAGCGTGGTGGGATGTTAGCCTAACGCTGGTTTTTCTGGTTGTCGGGCTACTTTTTGTATTACTTTTGGGTTAAGAAGGTTGCACCAAGAAGACTCAGCAGCTGCACAGAAGCGTGTGTAACGATACACCTCATATTTTGTGAAGTTTTGTCCGGGTGTTCCCAGTGCCTGTGCATGTCACGAAATAAGGTGATTGATGCTTGTGTCGCACTTGTCTCCTTAGCTTTCATTATTTGTTCTGGTGCATGAACAGCTGTCGTTAAAAGACGGTGCGTCTGTCACTATTTTGCCTCAAAGAAGAAAACTGTCACTCGACGATACTACCAAGCATGTTGTGCCGTAGTTGGAGAGCAGGGAGACAGGTCTTTCCAGACGAGCAGCTCCCATGGGTTGCTCGTCTTTGCCACGGATGGCTACTGCTGCGGCAGAGACTTTTTGACGCAGCATTCGGCGGTAAAGAGAAGTGCTTCTTGCCCGACTGACCCAGATGAGCTCATCTGTGAAGCCTGCCTGCATTCATGGACTGATCGCAATGACTCATGCTTGTCTGTTCAAGAGCTCCTCATTAACTTTGGCAATTTCATTGGGTGGTTTGGAAGTTTGTATATTATTTCTGCACTCTGCTCGATGGTGCCATGGAGAGCTAAGGGCTATGCTCCGAGTTACGCCATTCTAGGGTGCCAGCTAGTATAGTAGCAGAGCTGCCGCAGTGTATAAATGTACCTTCTCTGTACTACTCAATGCAGCTCAGGCCAATTATGCTACAACTACCCGCAGCGCATGATTGGCTGTAAAGCTATTCTGGAACCCTATTTTCCCACCCATAGAACTCCATTCCATTTATAGTGAAGCCCCTGGTGATGAAACACTGATTTTAAAATGTGGTTGTTTGGAAATAGTGCAGAGAAGGGTCACATTTGCAGTGGCAGTTCGTAAAAAAAGTATAAGTAAAGGAAATGGTGGAATGGAAACAGAAGTATGAAAATTGGGCCGAGCTGCACGCACGTCCGTGTGCATTACAGCTGTTTGGCTCTTTAGTGTGTTGTTTACGAAAAAGAGGACATCCACAAGAGGTACAAATATCATTTGCGTGGACTCCACTCGACAGTCTTTTTATTCCACAGCTATAAAAGTGGTTTGTCTCTGTGACTTGAATTTTTGTTGTTGGTACAGTCAAACCCCTCTACAACGAACGCCGCTTAGTTGAAATTTCCGCTACGACGAGAGTTTCTTGGTTCCCTGTCGGCAGTACCTAGGAGTATACGCATAAATATTCTATTCACAATGAACACTTTTTCTTCTGCTTCCTACTTCAATGCAATTTGACGATGCAATTCCAGGCTCAAAGATTTAATGCCGTGCAGTAAACACAATCTTGAACATTCTGACGCCGTGGTGGTCTAGTGGCTAAGGTACTAGGCTGCTGACCTGCAAGTTGCGGGATCGAATTCCTGCTGCTGCGGCTGCATTTTCGATAGAGGCAGAAATGTTGTAGGCCCGTGTGCTCAGATTTGGGTGCACGTTTAAGAACCCCAGGTGGTAGAAATTTCCGGAGCCCTCCACGACGGCATCTCTCATAATCATATGGTGGTTTTAGGACGTTAAACCTCACATATCAATCAACATTTCAGAACAATCAGCGTTTTGAGAACATAAATACGTTTGAGCCCACATATAGCGGCACCACTTAAAATGAACTTTCGCTTAAAACGAACAATATCCGCAAGACCGTGAAAATATACATTGTATGAATGACAAAAAATTGCACCTAAAACGAACGTCTCCGAGCGCCGCCGATCGGTTACAGCTAACGGAGTCGGCACTTTGCCGACTTTCTGGGAAACCACTTTCGACCACGGATGCCTGGATGGGGTATCGGCGAGGTGCCCATAGATTTTTATTGTTAAACGCCGACCCTGCCTCCGCACCCCTCAAGTTGCCGCTCTCCCCGACTGCTCTTTGTTATGCACCCTTCTGTCCTTTGTCCCCCTGCTACTTTGAGCACCCCGTATCGCCAGACGCGGCCAGTGCTTTCACACCGCCACACATCTTCCGAGGACCGGCCGACCACCTTCCCTGTTTTTGATAGTCGGTACTGTCGTTGACGTCGCCGGCCTGGAGTGACCAGACCATTTGCCAACATCGTCTGTATCCAATTGTCTGCGACTTGTCTAATCGTATCGTTCTAGTGCACATTCGTATGCTACTTCACCGACTCTGATTATTCGGGATTCTTTTTGTGTTTAGGACCTGTTCTCGCTCACTTCGCACTCTGCTCAGCATGCCTTCCGCACGTGCGCAGAAGCATAAAAACGGCTGTTAATTTGCACGGAACGAATCGTGAAATATGGAAGTCAGTGAGGCCACTGCAAACCCGCCGATGCAACAAAACGATTATTTGATCATGGCTGTCAATTCTTTGAACACCGCCGCGCGCGCCGATCTAGGCGGCCGTGCTCTGCGCACGTAGGCACTCTCCTACGCGCGAGTTTCGCGTTTCGCGAACCTTTAAAGTAAGCTGCTCGACCTGCCTTCTTCCCGTGTGTCTTGGATTTCAAGGTCGCCTTCCCCCCATATCCTTTCCTCTCTTCACCTTATCGCAACTTTCACAAATCGGTTCTCCTCTCCTGGCACAACTCCTTCGCCCGTCTCCGGCCCTCCGCGAAGCCAGCCACGCTGACTCGAATTCATAAGTTTTGTTTTCTGGCTAGAAACTGGCCCAGAGCTGTACCACACGTTCTGGCATGTGTGTTGCGTGTGCGCGTCTTGCTCGCTCTCGGTGTGTGTGTGTGGTCAAGATGGTGGATGGGAAGCCTTGCACGCTTTTTTCCTGCCGCTCAACAAAACGTCCAAAGTGTGGCCGCTTGGCTTGGCCCCAATCCGCGTTGCAGAACGCTTGCTCATAGCTGTTGACCAGCTGGCAGCCAACTTGCTACTTCGGGCTTCCCAGTATTCAGCTGTAAAGATGGTGAATATTTCGTGGGCGGCGGTGATGGCTACATGCGTGCGAAACTGTTTTCGCGAGGCCGACTTCGTCGTCCTCGGGCCCGATGCCGAGCTTGAAGCTTCTGAACAGGGCCACTCTGGCGGCGATTTGTGACAGTGCGTCGTCGAACTTTGGCCTGGCAAAGAAGGTGGGACTTCTGTTGCGATGGTTTAATTACGGCCGACGATGATGCCGACCCCTCGAAACCGAGCATGGATTAGGGCATTGTAAATCAAGTACGCGGCAACAGCGATTTGGAGGAATCGGATTGAGAGAACGACAAAACTTTGGAGCCAGTGCCTCATGCAGCTTATGGCACGGGCTTTGGCAAAGAGCACGCTGCTGTTTGAAATAAACTCGAGACTGCTTTTATCGCTTCTGTTCTTTGAAATACATGCATCACGTTCTATTCTGGGCAAAAAACTTTGTGTTTTGACTCGCAACTTTTTGAAAAGCTGTGTTTCATTTACTATTTACTACGAACTTTGGGATACAGCGACCGGATGCCGCGTCAGGCTCAAGTTCGTTATATATGGGCTTGACTGTGTACATCTACGAAGTATAAAACACACGCTGACACGACCAGAAACCACCGCTGTTTACTAGGCTTGGGGGCCGCCATTGTTTGATAGTGATGGTATATGAGACTGGCTGCTTTTGCCACAGGCTTGCTTCTGAGCTGCAGACAATTTGAAGCTAATGCTCAGTCGCTTGGTTGATAGAGCTTCCTACATGCTGCGGCTAGGTGAAATCACGAGACAATGCCTTTTCTGATGCCTGCTGCTATTGTTTCTTTTCGTGCTTGGCCAGTGGGGTCACTGGTGACATCAGCCGTTTGTTCGCCCTATCAACGAAAATCAGCCAGCTGCAACTAGTGTATGACAAGAATAGTGTAGAATAAGGCATCAGTCACTGCTCCACGATACCATGCCTCCATCTCGGCATTGTTGGATACCTTTTGACGGCAGACAGCTGTTGGTGCTAGCGTGCTAGTGCAACTGTTACATTCATTCACGAGAGCCGCTGTGACCATCTTTTCAGCATGCTTTTCAACAGGGCTTTGCTATGCATATCTGAAAATCTCGTCATGATGCTGGTTGGAAAGGAAAGGAAGCAGCCGACAGTAATTGAATTTTGACATTAAGAGTTCCTTTGTTTTGCTAGCTTATGGTAGCTATAGTTTTTTAGATTTCACTGCAGAGGACATTTTTTTCCGCACCCCATCAGTTTCTCTGTAGAGGGGCTCGACTGTACCATGGAAACTGCACCGCTTAGCTTGGTAGGATAGTTTCCATGGCAGATTGTCTGGCTGCAAAGCTGCGCTTAGTCTCATGCCCACTGCCTGTGGTTTTGTTCAGGAGGGCGATCTCCTCCGTGCACAATTTTTTCTCCGGAAAGTTTTCCATGACTGCATGTTGTCTGGCACTGCCTAGGCTTGGCTTATTGAATGTTGACTGCCTTGCCAGTGGTGCTTAACAGCACCCAAAGTTGCTGTTTAAACATTTTTGAGCTTTCGGCAGTCTGAAAAGGGTGCCATTGGATCGGCAAAGAAATTCGAGATAGTGAACAGCACATGCAACACGAGATTGGCCACATGTTTCTGACATTCCATATAGTTGGATATAGTGTGCGGGATTTTGGTAGTTAATCTACATAACTACTGTGCAGTTACTACCAGTGCTGTTGGACAGCTGGAATACGAGAGGTCTGATAAAATTAGTGGGAGAATTCCAAGGATGTTTTTTTACTTCACGAGCCCTTGAATGCATTCAGTGTGCATTTCAGTCCCAGTTGCATACGCTGTTTCTTGGATAAGCGCGAGTGCTACTCATTGTCTACATATGTGGAATCGCAAAACACGTGCTTAACTTACAGTGTAGTACCGCGCATATTCTTAGTGACGTACATTATAGGCACTCTGTGCAGAATATGAGCGAGCGTGTTCAACCGATGACTTGGGGCTGTAGTTAATGCCTTTGAAAGATACCCGAGTACTTCGAAGTAGTATACGTTGCTACATCAAACTTTGTCGGGACAAGCTGGCACCCCCAGTAGAACCAGCGATGTCTTTTCTTATCCACTCAAACCTCATTATAACAAAGTTGCATATAACACGGAAATAAGTTTGCTATATTCGAAAATTCGTTACAAAGGTTTATTCCTAACACCATACTAATCGCAAGACTACTTTTCATTTACTTCGTTATAACTGATATTTTGTCTGCATGAGTACGCCATGCTCTTTGTGTAAATGCATGTACTAGAGGTAAAGAGCCTAAATAATATAGAGTGAAGTTTTCTACGAGGGAGACTTCTTTCTGATAGCATAATGGTTGCATTTTTTTGGAGCATCTGCCATTTCAGAATGTCTAGAATTTCGGACTGTAGTGAACGTTTCTTTAATTCTTGCATGTGCAAGGCTACCTTGATCAGTGCATGAAGTTACTTGGCCTCTTTTGTTGAATTGACTGTGCATGAAGCACAATTTTTTTCCTGGCTAGTCGGTTGTTTGTACGCTGGGCAAGGCACAACTGCTTTTGTCAGGGTTTGCGTGAAAGACTGACGTCGTGTGTGTGCCTAGTTCTGCCTTGTAGCTCATAGGTGAGTTTGTCCTACCGTGCGAGATCGCAAGCGCTTCCCTGCCACGTATTTGTCCCCAAATAAAGAAAAGGCTGATGCTCATGATCGGAAGATTGAACTCATGTCTGCCATCTGTGCTTGTCGTACGTTTGCTTTGGTTCTGCATGTGTCAATACTGTTATGTTTGCTTTGCTATCCTGCTATAGTGTAGATGCAAGACTGTTGTACCTGTTGGTTGCATGTAAAATTGGGCATTCAATGAGCAGCTCCATTCAATTTCCGCGGTGCACCTATGTTATTCGCCATTTTCTGAAGGGACTGGTGTCATGTTCTGTATGTTTGTGTCATGTGTCCGAGACTGTGGTGCTGAACAGCGGGTTTCGACAGTCAATTGCTTTCGGAGGTGTGTGTTATAGTTAAACACCTTTATAAGAGGCATGCTCTGGGCAGCAATTGTTCTCTTTTATATGAGATGTCTCTTAGAAGCTGGGTACGTCGTATGCATTTCCTTATCAACTTGTATTTTACTGTAGGCACACTGGCGTCTCTTATACTCATTAGTCTGTTATATCAGTGTCTCTTATAAAGGGGTTCAACTGTAGTTGTGCTAGTGGAAAGGGAAAAAGAGTGCTGTTGCTAGTATGTTCTACTGAGTAATTGTACGAGGCTCGTAAACACAGTGGTACGAGGCTCTTGCCTTGGCAGTATCGTGTAGCATTGGGAAAGCTGCTTGTATAATTGCTCTACCTGGGAAGCTGCCGTATTCACCCGGTCTTTGACAGTGTTCAGTCATTCTGAAAAGTTACTAAGTGCGCAGAGAAATTGGAAGGGGCTCTACATCAATTTTTGAGCATGGTCAGGAAACGCTGTCAATCGGTTGTGGAGACTCCTGTGAACACGCGAGCCAAATATTGCAGCGCACCACGCGGCTTGCAATTCACAATTGATTGGCACAGTCAGCTAAAAATTGCTTTCTTTTTTCTCGACAAATGATGACACAAGCTCAAAAATCACTCGTAGAATCTGCCGTTAGCTGATATGAACATGGCGCACTCGGTCAATACAGGGATCACTGCGAGAGGCCGTAACATGTCTACGCGTGCGCGCGCGCGATCAGGCTGAAAAGGCTGCATATTTGAAGGAAAAAGAGTTCTCAAGGTCAGGAAACGCACATGATGTGTTTTCTTCCCCGGTATCATTCCTCGCTCTAGCGCTTTCATCAGGGAGAGAGAATGCGATTGCAGCATGCGACAAATAATTGTAACTCCTTCCGTACTGAAAAGATTCTTAAAATTTTTGCGGCACTGAAAAGTGTTTCCGGGGTCCTTTTAATGCTTATCAAATAAAATGTGTTTACCTGGTATGCTTGTTTCATTGTGGCTTGAGGTGTTTGCTACCCTTGACTGAGGGATATATTAAGTATTTTAACACAGTGTGACACTGTTCTCCTTTCGACAGCCTTGCGTGAGATGATGGGTATGATGTTTCCTGGCTGTAAGAATAAGTCAAGATGTTGCTGCACTATCTTTGGCAACAAAGTGGTTGGAATAAGAAGTCATTCTAGTGTTACGATTTGCTGGAGAGGCGTTCTGTTTGTGTGTTTCATTGGTTTTGGTATTAGGAACATGAGAAGGAAAACTGCATTATTTGTTGATTAGAACTAGTTGTGATGATCTGCGTGGAGAGCTGGTTTCTCATTTGATTTTCACTGTTGCTAAATTAATGTCCTTCCTGTTGTGTGTGGGGATGAAAGAGCACTTGTTTCTCATCGTTGCCGTGTGTTCCACAGTGCTGCATGGACTAACAGAAGTCTTCAACCAACCGGTGCTTTTTGCATGTAGTAACTTATTCGTAGGCGAATAGTTATGAAAAAAGGGGAGAACACTGGATTCACTGCTTCATTGACTGTGCCGTATGTACAGCCGCCCAAATTTTTATCACGCATGAGCAGCAACTTTAATGTGCATCAACGTCGTATGACGGAGCGAAGTTGCAAACAAGGCGAGGGTAAGCAGGCGAATGCCCACAAATTGCACGCAACTGGGCCCATCATCTGTTAGGCAGTTCGTTCTCGAGGAGGCCACACGATTGTTGCGCATGAATCGTGTTTTAAGAGTGGAGCTCTTTAAGCTTTTTGTCACGCTGATTAATGTTAACAGGAATTGCCATCATGAACCGGTATGCACTCTCTTCATCCTCTCCTACTTGTGTTTTCACTCCCACGACAATTTGTCAAGCATTGAACGCAATAGCTATAATGAGCTAATCTGTTATTGCAAAAAAATTCTTAAAACGTCACGGAACGACTCTCGTGACCAAAGATGACTTAATTTAATTAACATTGCAGAAGAAGGGGAAGATGGAAGCTTGTGATGCAAAATTCGAAACCAGAGCGAAGGTGCTAGCGCCGACGTTTCGACAAGTGGACAGTTGCAGCCTTGAAAAAGACAAATTCGCTTGTTGAAACGTCAGCTTCAGCACCTGCCCCCGCGCTTTCGAATTTCTCATTAACACTGCATATCATATAGTGACGAAACTAAAAATTTCGTAACATGACATAACAACTAGTTACCCAACTGAAGTCATGCAACACTGCGTAACGGCGTCACGTGGCATGTTGCTGTTATGAACCGTGTAGCAACTAGTCACCTGACTGAAGTCGCGTAATATCACGTAACAGCTAGTCACGGGACATGTTCCTTCTAAAAGCCATGTAGCAGTGATTCACCTGATGAAAGTCAGATCACATAACTGGTCGCGTGAAATGTTCCCGCCGAAAGCACATGACTAGTGCACACTGTAAAGAATCGACCACACTGTAAGGAAAAACAGCTCTACGTTTGATTCCAGCTTCGTGCACTAACCCATGCTGTGCAAATTTTTTTGATTTCTCACAACAAGGAGCACGCAGCTTTTCTTTAAATTTTATTTTGCAGATTGCGGGCTGCAAGGTTCACCTTCGGTACATAAAATACGAGCAGAACCTTTTGCCCACTCGTGCGCTGATATGATGTGACCTCCTTAAAAAAAGCCAATGATATTCCCAGCTGTGTGCTGTATCAGCATGCACTTACCACATTTGCAACTTGGCTGTATGGTGCTCACGCACAGAAATGTTTCCACTCACACATGCTAGCTAAAGATTTGGGTGGATGTACACTGTTGGGGGTTTCTGGGTGTGTTGTCAGTTGTAGGAAAGAAAGATGAATGATAAGCGCCACGGGGTGGTCTCTTGAGTGTTGAGGAAGTCAACAAGCCAGTGGGTGGGTGTCTGTGGTCCTGCTCGCAGTTGCTGAATAGCGAGGACAGTGGGGACAAGAGTTTCCGCAGGTCGCAGGATCTGCTCATTCAGCAGCTGCTCAAGGCCGAGTCGCCCGACAAGGTAATCACCGCTGCCCGTTCTGCTGACCCACCCACCCCCGCAACACCACGTCTGGACGCAAGCATGCCTTACACATCCCCCAACTCCTTCCTCTTTTTCCCCCTCTTCTCTTCGCACGTGTCATGTGGCAGTTCGATGGTTTGGGGTGCACACAGGTGAATCTTGAAACGACGACGCAGTTGTTTGTCTTGTGAGAATGTGTTCTCTCCGCGCCGTTAACGGGCTGCCAAATTGTCAATGCGGTGTGGTTTCAGAAAGTCCCCACTAGAGTTGATGTTGTGTTCAAAGCATGGAAAACAAGAATGGGGCAGGTTTCCACACCATTTGCTGCGGGTTCAATCTGTAGTGTGCTTTACAAAGCAAAATCAACAGCACTAGAGGTTTCACCGATCGGTGACCGATCGGTGAAAGTGGCCTGATGCTGGAAAGGGAACTGGTTTGCCCTCGAAGCGGTGCCAAGCATTTATGTACAGTCAGTAACAGCTATATTCAGTGCAGCAGAGCCTTTTCATAAACTCCGAATATGCTTCCCTGTGCTGAACATTGGCCCATCTGGTGGTGGCACTTGTCGACCTTCAAGCGGAGACGAGGCCCTAGTTGCGCGTCCTGAGACTCGTCTGTTAGGCTTGTTTACGTCAAGAGAACAGTCTACATTTCCCGCATCTTAGTTTGGTCAAACTGCGCTACAACTAAGTGACTAGCCGCGGTTAGTTGCGTTAGTAGTAGTGTTAGCCGCGGTTAGCTGCAAAGCACTTATCTAACTGCATTGCAGGAAGGCTAGCTTTACAACTATAAAAAAAAGTTTTGTGTTGCAAGTGCATGCTTTTCTCAACTTGGTAATGTCGTCAGGCTGTCACAGTTCGCCTTTTTCATTTTCCTGTGCTTCCCCTCTGCGGTTCTAGCAAGACCTTGGTTGAGGCCACGATGACCAGTATTACCAAAACGAAAGCCTCTGAGATCATGACTTTTAATGATATGTGGAGTTTAACGTCCCGAAAGCAGTATAGATCACGAATTTTTCACCAGAGGAAAGGTGCATGTACCGTGGCATCATGAAAAAGACGAATTTCCAGCTTATGCGTTGTGCCAAGCTGTTCGCTCCGCATCTATAAAGTGGAAGTGGAGAACTGGGGTTTTCTGGTAGCTTCGACACGTAGGGCCAGGTGTTCAGGAATAGTACGAGTTTTAGCAGCCAGAACGTGTTAGAAACATTCTTGTGTTTATAAGGTGGGAGCGGCTAGTTAGCCAGTCACTCGCATATTCAATTCCCTATATATGCAGTATTTTTGATGGAAAGAAAATGAGTTATACATTTCTGCACATGTGCCAGAGGTAGTGCGGTGCTGCTGTTCTGTTAGGGGAAACACAGAAAGAATGAAAAAAAAAAAATGTTCTGTTTCCATGTGTGTTAGGCTCTCTGGAGCAACCATGTGCTTGCAGCTTTCTGTACTGTGGACCATCTTTTAAGTTTTGTCTGTTAGTAGGCTTTCCATGGTTTGAAAAGCAGTAGGCCTCGAGCTGATATAAGTTGCGCATGTAGTTTCTTTACAACAGCGTCTTATGTCTTCTTTTTGCCTGCTGCATGGTAATATTTAGTTTTTCCCTTTCTGCCACTGTGGCATGCGTTTGAATGTGAACTGGGCATTTGTTCTGAGGAGTTCCTTTTTTCTTATTTTGTGCGGTGCATTTGGTGCTGTCACCTCAGTCGTTGTTTACGAGCATGCAAAATGTACCAAAGTCTCCTTTCTTTTTTTTTAAACATGTTTTTGTCGGTTGGTTGGACTTTTTTCGTTGGTTACAACTGTCCTTGTGTTCTTATTGCTAACCTCTTGTCTTTGAGGTGGCATGTGCTGTGAGTGTGCTTGCCGATGTGGCCAATCTTCATTTCTATGTTTGCTTGCGACATATTTTTGTTCTTATTTTCCTTTTTTTGTGTGTGTGCTGCATAAACTGGAGCCATGTGGTGATGCATTCTTTACGTCTGTATTCCTTTCTGTTCCTGCATGTTCTTTCTTTTTTAAATCTCGTCGGTGTTTGTGACACAGTGCAGGTAATCGGCTCATCGCTCAAGTTTCATAGCTTACTTTTCTTAAACGAATACTGACAATTTTAAAATTATAAGAATAATTGTTACCATGTGCTTCTTGCAAATAGATATTTGATACTTGGAAAGAATTGAGGTTTGGTGTTAATATCGTTATGTTTTGCTAATGCCTTGTCACGATGGTGTGGCAATGCGTTATTGCGGTGTCTTTGCACGGGAGATAATTTCGCTTGTGTGGGTCAGTTGAGCTATAGTATGTTAACACTGCTGGAAAAAAAAATAAAACGAGAATGCTAACTACGTTTCACTGCGCTGGGCTTGTGCTCAGCAGGCACAAACTATAAAAAACAAAAAAAACAGTGAACCGAACTATTGCTAAAATGAGTGAGAATCGTAAAGTTATCCAGGGCACTGAGAACTCGAAACTGTTATGCCAGCACTTCTTAGAGGGCTTCACCAGGTTTGACAATATTGAGCTGACGAACGCAGTGCATACATGGGGCAATCACGTCGGCCAAAACTTCCTATGCTACACGCCACAAAATTGGGTCAAATTTTATGATGAACGCTGCTTGTCCTTCCTTTCGCGGGCGTGTGCTCAGAGAATGAGGGCGTGACACAGACGTAGGAATTGCCCTACGTAAACGGTAGTGCTGTGACGTTGGTCCTCTACGTAGATGACTGTGCTCCGACATCGCCAGCAGTAGCACGTGACACAGCGAAACTTATATCACACGACGTGTAGTTGGTTTGAATAGAATAAAACTTGAGATAAATGATACAGAAGAAGGAATGCGTGCATCTTTTTCATTTATTTTCCTAGGAATTGAAATGAGATGCAAGCCAAATCTGCCTCCGTTTTGCATGTGTTTGTGTCCCGGAGGTTAGCGCCTTGAGGCGACGCCAGCCCTGGAAACGAAATTAATGGTCCTGTACGCTCCAGCCCTCAATATGCTCGTCTATTCTACCGCATCTAAGCCATCGTTTCCAAATGAGTGCACAACAAGGCATCTTCGCAGAAACGGGCAGTAAACCACAAAATAACGCTGGACAACAAACGAACGCCGCTCGGGTGCCCCGGGGGTCAGGTTTGCTCGAGGACGTCATGTGCACGTGACCGTTGGCTCAGATGCTGGAGAGGATAGGGAAGAGACTTGGCTTTGCGAAGACTGCGCAGGGCGAGCAGCAAGGGTTTCGAGCTCACCTCCTCTCATCGTGGTTTCGCGCTGCTTTAAAATACTGGTTTTCTCAACTCGTAATGAACCGATTGAAGAAATTCTAAAGGCATAATGTCCTTTTTCGAACACGCAACTGTCAGTGTCTAGCTAGAATTTGTTATGAGGGGCCTGCTGAGGGGCCCTTTAAAAATAGCAAAGTTTGGGAAATGAATAGAGTCCCTTCATAATTCGGGAGGCTTCTTTTAGGCTTTCTTAAGGCGTGCGAATGTCTTGCTTACTATGTTTCGCTTGTCACACTGTGTTCACTTACTGCTGTCCCAGTTCCCACAGCTGCACTTGTCTTTGTTCCTGGGTGCAGTACATTTTTTGTCTTGCAATTTCTTTTCTGCTTCTCCATGTGATGCATTCTGTGTTTTTGCAACTTTAGAGTGACATGTTTGGTGCCTTTCATTTGATAGCGCAGTTGTGTACGGAAGCATCTACTTAATTTCTAATAATCAGATCTTATGGTTGCAACTTGAAAAACAATTCTACCATGCATATTTATGCTTTCTCATTGGTTTGTGAGAAGAATGTAGTTGCTAAAATTAGAAAGAAACTCTCATTTCTCTGGAAGTAGCCAGCCCTTTCTCATCAGTCATGCTTATAGGCTATGAAGACAATCAAACCTTTACAAAATGTGCAACTTGATGTCCTGACTTGAACTGAACAGCATTGCAGTCACAGATGCTAGTAGTTTGTTGATTCGATATAAACGACAAGATCACGTATGTTTATGTGCAGTCCTTTTGCGTTTTTGTTGTTCGTGGGAGCAACAGGTCAAGGCAGCTGAAAGCGCAAGCATCTGCACTTGCCTGCACATCGTCTGCGTGCATTTCCTTTTTGTTCTCGTTGCCAAGCGGCTTATTTCAGTAAACTCTTGCTACCGAGGAAGCACGTTACTGGCATTGGACATAGACAGTATTTTTCGTCGCGAAGCGAAAGTCCTGCTATGTCCTTTCGATACCTTTCCACGCCACTGTTATCTCTCTGGCTGAGTAGGGTTGAGTGACGGTGAGGCTGTTTTTTACGCCGTCTTTCAGCCCGAGGGTGCGGAAGAAAGTATCTCCAAGCGCAAATCCTTGGAGGACGGGCAGGATGTGGACCAGCCACCCAAGCGACCCAACATGGCAGGTGGACGACCGCCGACGGTGAGCTTCTGCTGTTTTTTTTTTCTTTTTTTCACCTCTTGTCCATCACCACCACCTTCCCTGCCCAACTTCCATTTTTGTTTGTTGCTTTTTCGTTGAGTGGAGCCCTGGGTATGGCGGCGGCATCCTTCCTTTTCCTTGCCGGGTGCATGTTTCAGAAAGGCCCGTTGATGGTTTGGCCTTGGCCTCTGTTTTTAAGATTTGGCGGCGGCTCGGATTGGTAGCATATGGTTGTTAGGTGTTGTAGTTTTTGTATAATTCAGCTGTTTGGTTTCAGCATGCTGGCATGTTACGTGCATACCCCCCTCCCTTTGCAACAGCAATAACATTAAATATGTGCTTTTTTCACACACTCATTGCTTCTTCTTTGCTAGAGGCTGAAACTGTGGAGCATCAATACTAGATTGGAGACACTATTAGGAAGAGTCTCCTATCGTCGGGGGAAACATATCAGGGAAAGTCCAGGAAATGTCGTAGTTGACATAGAGAACAGGTTCTTCTGGAATCCTCCTTCTATATCCTTTTTTTTTTCTGTCATGTTTCTTTCAAATTGTCACAAATATTGAGCTAAGGTGGACCCACACAAACAAGAACGGACACTGATAATGCTTTCACATCTCAATTAGTAGTAATCGGGAACTGTTGAATTCAATTGGCACAGACAGCACGAGACAATGTAGATATTCGGAAAGTGTGAAAGTGGGAACACGCATTGCGTGCAAGAGCTGAACACATTCGTTGCTTCACTGAGTGTGTAAGAGCCGAGTGCACGTGTCAGCATTCGCTCACGTTCCTACTCATGTGCACTGCCACTCACCAGCACTCGCATGCATTTGCACTCATTTCCATGCACACTTAGTGCCACTGGCTCACCCCCCCACTCTTGACCATTCTCTTTCGCCCATATATTCTGTTCTTGCATGCCCAATGGTCAACTCGCATTCCTGATTCACATGCATTAGTGTCATCGGGTTTTGTTAATTGGTACTACAACTCATTCATGCTTGCATCCACTTGCACCTGTTGTCACTCACAAGCACTGTCTCATGCCTTTGAATTCATTATGAACTAATGAACTCAACAGCAAGCATGCCATAGCTTAGTATTCGGTAACACGTTTGGAAAAAAAAGTAAACGAAGCATATTGGCTAGAAATGAGCTTCTGAAGTTTTTCCCGGGCTAATTGTCGTATAGTAGCAGTCTTTGCAAAGCCACATTAAGTGCCTATTGTTGTGGTAGCCAGGACTAACAAGTTACATTGCTATTTTGCATGGCATGTTAATACTGCTTGTAATCGTTATGACTGATCCCCTAGCTTGCCAGGTTATCTGGGTTGTTAGTTTCGCATCCAACAGGAGGCCAAACATTTGATTTTCTTTCCATCTATAAAGAGAGTACTTGAAGGTGCTGTCAGCAGGCATATTAATCAAGCTGGGTCACTCATGCATTATAATTAATTTCGTACAATTGGTGGTTGAACTTGGTGGGTGTTCAGATATGATAAGGGTTTAGTTGGCATGAACTTATTAGGATATTGTGCTAGGTATTACTTAGTTTTATTTCAACAGCTCACTTATAACAGTCCTGAAGCCTGCTGTGACAAAGTGCTCGCTGCCATGGCAGTGCTCAAGGGGAGAGGCGATCTCAAAAAAAAAAAAAAAAAGTGTTAGTGTGTAACCTAGAGCAATGAATTTCTTGCTGTATATGTAGGCTCTTGTGCTGATTTCAAATATATAATTAGTTTTATGACAACCACAGCTTTCACTTTATGTGTGAAGTATATCTATTTCTGGACCAACTTTCTCTGCTAATAAACTTTTATAATTCTGATCCATTAATGGCTCATATTGCTCCACATCAACTGTAGAATGCAGATAAGTATAAAAAGTGCATATGATACATTTTAATAGACAGGAAAAACTGTAATGCGAGAATTTTTAGAATTCTCAGCCCATACTAGTTGCTTACTTTAGGTTCTTAAAGCGGCCCTGAAACACTTTTTCGAGTTACCATGGAATTAGTTCACTGGAAAAGCTTGTTGCCTCACAAATTCAATGCCTCAAAAATTTTAAGAATCCGTCCAGTATGAGCGGAGTTACAAAAATGTTTGCTGCAATCGCATTCTCTCTTCTCTAGTCCCGACGAAAGCGCTGGAAGCTAAGCAGGTAGGGATGGGAGGGGCAAACAAAAAATGTTACATGCGCCTCTTGACCTTCAACACTTTTTTCATCAAATACGCGACTTTTTCAGTTCGATCGCGCGCACACGCGTGGACAATTGACGGCCTCTTGCGGTGATTTCTGTAACAACCGAGCGCGCCATGTTCAAATAAGCCAATGGCTGACAGATGAGTCATCTACGTGGGGTTTTTGGGCACATTCCGTGATTTGTCGAGGGAAGAGAAAGCAATTTTTAGCTGACTTTGATAATTTATTGCGAATTCCAGGCCACGTGTTCCAGGAAGCCTCTACTACCGATCGGCAGCATTTGCTGACCATGCTCAAAAAGTGTTGCAGGGCCCCTTTAATAATTATATACAGCCGATCCTTAATTTTAAAGAAAATACTTGCACCCTTTACATGCTAAGGGATATGTGGGCAAAATTTCATCTCCATCAGGCTGTCAAAAGTGGCAAACACTTAATTTTTAAACAGAAAATGTCAGAAAGTGGATCTTGAGGAAAACGCACTTAAAGGCATCAGTTAGAGCTCATCTATACGGGAAAGTTATGTTTTTTTGAAGATGATTCTTCCACAATGAGAGCTTGGCAACCATGGTTAATTTGAGCATGTGGCTTTAGTGAACTGCTCATGCAAAATGCAATGGCAAGCAGCCAGGTGACAATTTTCATGGGACTCTGGTCCGTGAGATCTTTTTAGTTTTTAGTAGCCACTTCGTGCTCTCTTCAAGGGATTTCAACCACTTCGATTTAATTACAAATTTCAGCTTTTTGTTGTGAATTAAGAGAAGCTAAACTGGCAAAAACAAAGAAGTTCTATTCTTCGGCTCGCATCATCCTTAAAAACTTGCTTTGCTTGCATGGCATCATTGCGCAGCTCAAGGAAGATTTGAACGCTTTAATAAGGTGACCCTCCACAGACGAATGGTCACTCGGCTTTAACAGCTTCTGGCTGCAATTTTTAAGCTTCGCAATGCAATTATACTTTTGCAGCGTCTGGTATCATCGCACTGCCATGAGTTGAGCTTTAGAGCTAGTCCTGAAATTACATTAGCAGAGGCTGCTTATTCTTATAAGTGGGCTGTGCGTCTCATTGCTTGTACATTGCCATCATGTGCTTTCCCTTCTCCTCCCCCCATTCCCATGCCCCCTCATTGCTGATGCATGCTCCGATTGGTGGTGATGTCGCCTTCTTGCTGCCGCTATCTTCTTGGGCCTTTATGCGGTTTGCTTTTCTGTTGCTCCCTCCCCCCAACATTCTCTCCCATTCATTTGTTCCCAAAAGATTGCCCGTGTCACTATCCCAAAGAACTTTGCCCAAAGCATCCACTACTACACCCAGTACCAGCGTGTTCCCGCAGGGATCGTGCAGCAGGTGAGGTTGGGCCCTTCAAGGTTCTGGGTCGGGGGTGTGCGAATAGTGGCGGTACAGTGGAAGCCTAGTCAAAATGCTGATTTAGCTGGCGGTTTCTTGACAGAGATTTGAGAAACGTTGGTTTTGGCTCCCTGGGTCCGTAGTTCTGCCGGCCAGGTTACAGTCATTTGACGAGAGGGATCTGTCGGTTGCTACAACACATGTGAATAGCATATTAATCTCACAGGTGGATGAGAAGGCAATGCAGATTTTGCCACAGCATGGCAGGTGGTGAATTTCACGTATTAGCATCGTTTATATGCTCTCTTGTTTAGTTTAGGAGCCCTTACTGCTGCCTTTGGAATGAGTCGTCGAGAGCAACCCCAGAGCAGACATAAGCTGTCGAACCATTAGAAGTGAACTTGGGACTGAAAGGCATTGTTCAGAAGCTTTTGTATGTTCGCACACCCCTTGCCTGAACCCTAAGTGGTGTGATAGTACCGTGGTGTCATAGCAGAACAGAGCTGCTACTTGTTACTTTTTAGCAAAACAAGCTTGTAGAAATCTGGGGGCTGGCTATGGTGCAAGCTTATAAAATGCCTTCATTTGAATTTTTAGTTATTGTCGGCACATCTTCTGCACTGCAGCTTCGTCTATTCTGTTAGCTCGCGTTCACTCGAAGCTAAATTGCATGGAAAAAGAAAATCTTAATGCATTGTTTGTCCATTGTAAAACAGAATACAGTGCGCAAGTGGGATGACACAAATTGCTGCAATTTAGTGCAAGTGCCAAACTTTCACTGAAGCTTTGCTCATCTATAGCACATGTTATGCAGCCACCATCATACCAATGTCGAACTTGCCTTTTCGTACTGTGCACTTTTGCGGATTGTGGCAGACATTTCTGATGTGTCCACTTGAATTTTACGGGTTTGCTCCTTTCTTCCAAAAGTATGCGATACTTATGCTTCGGCTCTCTCATTTGTTAAAGTTAAAGGGGTCATGAAATGTTGCTCCGCCGCGGTGGTCTAGTGGCTAAAGTACTCGGCTGCTGACCCGCAGGTCGCGGGATGGAATCCCGGCTGCGGCGGATACATTTCAGATTGAGGCGGAAATAGTGTAGGCCTGTGTGCTCAGATTTCGAAGCATGTTAAAGAACCCCAGGTGGTCGAAATTTCTGGAGCCCTCACTACGGCGTCTCTCATAATCATATGGTGGTTTCGGGACGTTAAACCCCTGTAATAATCCCCATGGGCATTGACAGTATTCTGTAAATAAAATAAATAAAATAAATAAGTATCAATCATGAAATACTTTCTGGAAATTTTGAATTCAGAATCCTGGCCATCCATTCAATACTATTCGTCAATTCTTCGCGTCGTCCAGGTTAATTTAATAGCTATATAAGCACAATTTCGATTCCTCGGTCGCATTCCCCTGAACTTTACAGCTGATGTCATTTCAAGCC